CCACCTATAATCTTCAAAAATTTAAATGGAGTGTCAATTGCCATCTTCTGTTTCCTGAAATCCGTTCTTTTATTGTCTTTTCTATTCGCTAAATTTCTCATTCTTTTCCACTTAAAGTCCTAATGGCATTATGGCATTACTTGGGACGAAAGGATTTTTTAAAAAAATTACATATTGAATATTAACTTTTGAGCAAGTTAACATTTGCCTTTTAGTCTGGCCTATTAAGACTAACTCCCTCTATTAAAGGGAATTTGGGGAAGACAGGCAAAAGTCGAATTTTATTTCTACCATGACACAACTTTAGACAGAGCTCCATCCCTTAGTGTCACTAACTTTGAATGTTACAGCCAGGACCACCATTCTCTACATATTCCTTTGGAAAGAAGAGCATTCCACCCCAAAAGCTTCTTCCTAAGAATTGCTGCTTTGTTTGATACACTGACCACTTTTCTACTTGCTCCGCTTACGTTCATATCACACAACTGATTCAGTAACTCTCTACCTTGAGTGGCCCTTGTGTCGGGTGAATATTTATCAAAAGAAAGAAAAAAGACAATAGACATGCAACCTTGTGAGTAATTAATTATTTTCATTGCTATTTCTATGTCAAATGTTCAGACGAGCAACATTCCTTAGATCCACGATTTCAGACTTTTACAGCTTCCATATTTCATTGGTATGAAGTTCCATTCTGACAGCTTCTTCCCAAGGGTTACTACTTTGAGGAAAAAACTCCCAAGAGGATGCTTGCGTAAAAACTACAATTAACTTCTTTAAATATTGGGCTAACCATTATCTATCCAATATATCTTCATAATTTGCACTTACTTTCCTCTATTACTTCCATACAACAACCTCGTTCAATGATCCTCTACCTTGGTTGGCTCTTGGGCTTTGTATTAGGGAGAATTTAATTAAAGAAAGGAAGATGTAAGGGTGCCTTTTTTGTTTCTGCAGGGATTGCAAGTATTAGATGTAAAGAAATTGAGATAAAAATTGTCAAAATTTGAGTCAGCATTATCAACATCCTTGCTTACTTCATGTTGGTAGATAAATTTCACTTGCATACTGGGACATGTAAAGAAAACAGTACTTAATGCTAAATAATTAATTTTTTTTTCTTTTGCTTTCTAATTATCATAAACTGTACATGTCACACTCATGTATGCGATCTATCTTTGAAAATGATGGAAAAGATAACAGTTCCTTGTGTCGCTCCAGAAAGTCTATGATTCCTTCTACCATTCTGTAACTTTTTATTCTTTTTATTATGTTCCACTTTATTTCTTTTTTTTTTTTCTTTCTTTTTTTCTTTCTTTCTTTCTTTCTTTCTTTCTTTCTTTCTTTCTTTCTTTCTTTTATTCTTTTCTTTTTCCTTTCTTTTTTTTCTTTCTTTTCTTTCTTTCTTTTTTCTTTCTTTCTTTCTTTCTTTCTTCTTTCTTTCTTTTTTTCTTTCTTTCTTTCTTCCATTCTTTCTTTCTTTCTTTCTTTCTTTCTTTTTTTCTTTCTTTCTTTCTTTTTTTTTCTTTCTTTTTTTCTTTTTTTTTCTTTCTTTCTTTCTTTCTTGTTTTTCTCTTGGCTTCCATTTCTTTCTTTCTTTTCATTTTTTTCTTTTCTTTTTTCTTTCTTTCTTTTCTTTCTTTTTCTTTGACTTCCTTTTTTTTTTTTCTTTCTTTCTTTTTTCTTTCTTTCTTTCTTTCTTTCTTTTTTTTTTTTCTTTCTTTTGACTTCCATTCTTTCTTTCTTTCTTTCTTTTCTTTTTTTTCTTTCTTTCTTTCTTTCTTTGACTTCCATTTCTTTCTTTCTTTCTTTCTTTCTTTCTTTCTTTTCTTTCTTTCTTTCTTTCTTTTCTTTCTTTCTTTCTTTCTTTTTTGTCTTCCATTCTTTTTCTTTCTTTCTTCTTTTTTCTTTCTTTCTTTTCTTTCTTTTTTCTTTTCTTTTCTTTTCTTTCTTTCTTTCTTTCTTTCTTTCTTTCTTTCTTTCTTTCTTTCTTTCTTCATTGACTTCCATTTCTTTCTTTCTTTCTTTCTTTCTTTTCTTCTTTTCTTCCTTTCTTTTTTCTTTGTTTTTTTCTTTCTTTCTTTTTTCTTTCTTTCTTTTTTCTTTCTTTCTTTCTGACTTTTTTTCTTTCTTTCTTTCTTTCTTTTTCTTTCTTTCTTTTTTTTCTTTTCTTTCTTTCTTTCTTTCTTTCTTCTTCTTTCTTTCTTTATTTTTCTTTCTTTCTTTCTTTCTTCTTCCATTCTTTCTTTCTTTCTTTCTTTCTTTCTTTCTTTCTTCTCACTTCCATTCTTTCTTTCTTTCTTTCTTTCTTTCTTTCTTTCTTTCTTCTGACTTCCATTCTTTCTTTCTTTCTTTCTTTCTTTCTTTCTTTCTTTCTTTTTTTTTCTTCTGACTTCCATTCTTTCTTTCTTTCTTTCTTCTGACTTCCATTCTTTCTTTCTTTCTTTCTTTCTTTCTTTCTTTCTTTCTTGTTCTTTCTTGTTCTTTCTTCTGACTTCCATTCTTTCTTTCTTTCTTTCTTTCTTTCTTTCTTTCTTTCTTTCTTCTGACTTTCATTCTTTCTTTGTAACCATCTGCCTTTTTCCAACAATTCATTTCGTCTTTTCTCTTTTCACGTATAAAGTCTCTTATTTTTATCCATCCTTTTTGGCTCGTTCGTTTGCTGTCAATGTCTTTTGAATTTCTACTTCGACCATGCTCTATCTTTACAAAAGTCAAACCAAACATTTCCAGTTATCCCTTTCCAGCCTTGACGTAGTTTAAAATTGCTTATGCAGCCTTGTAGGCAATTATTTCCTTTGCTATTTCTATGGCAAATGTTCAGATGAGCTAAGTTCCTCAGTTCCACCATTTCAGTTTTTTAAAGCTAGGACATGTCATGCCATATACACTCGATCAGCTCATCCTCATCTCTTTCATATTCCATAGGTATGAAGTTCCTTTCTGACAGCTTCTTCACAAGAGATGTTGCTTTAAGTAACAGACTCCCATGAGGATGCTTCTGTGTTTACTACAGTCTTTACGCTTGTACTTTGCCTTTTATCTACAATGAAAAAATATCTAAATGGTGCAAATTTTATTTTGGAATGATATCTACATAGTAAAACATATGTATAGCATAGAGAAAATGGAAATTAAAATATTTTAAAAAATTTCTTTTAAAAATATTCTAGCGGTAACCAGCACGCTCATCGGCTAAAAATGCTAAATAAATTTTCTTGTTGTGGATCAAAATATAAAGTGTAGATCGTATACCAAAGTAGATTCATGACAAGTGGATCAAAATGTAAAGTGTAAATCAGAAATCATTGTAGATTGATGACACGTGGACCAAAATATAAAGTGTAGATCGGGAATCAATGTAGATTCATGACACGTGGATCAAAATATAAAGTGTAGATCGGGAATCAAAGTATATTCATGACACGTGGATCAAAATGTAAAGTGTAGATCGGAAATCAATGTAGATTTTATGACCCGTGGATCAAAATGTAAAGTGTAGATCTGAAATCAATGTAGATTCACGACACGTGGATCAAAATGTAAAGTGTAGATCGGGAATCAAAATATATTCATGACACATGGATCAAAATATAAAGTGCAGATCGGAAATCAATGTAGATTCAGGACACGTGGATCAAAATATAAAGTGCAGATCGCGAACCAAAGTAGATTCATGACAAATAGATCGCAAGCCAAAATATCACTGTTTTCACTTTTAGGATAAATTGTTATCTATCGTACATGTAATCTGCACTTATGTCCATACAACAATCTCAATTGCGTAAGTGAATGCTATGTTGTGGGAACGATGTAAATTAGTTCGTTGGAATGATAGACGGATCATTCCAAAGAACTGCATAAAAATGATTAGTTAATGTATCTTCATTTTGAAACCTTATCCACAGTGCAGTTTCGTTCTAAGCCCTTTTTAGCACTTATGCAGCAATTTGAGAAAGCTTCTAGCTCGCAAAGGTTATAGCGGGGGAAAGTTCATCTTACACTTGCTGGCCAAATTCCCTCGGACTTTAGGAAGCACTTCATAGTAGGTCACTGACTTCATTACTGTACTCACTCACAGGATTTGTTTAACGAGGAGTGATTTGTAAATACTCGGCGTTTGTAACAAGCACATAGGCTGATAAACGCAATTCGGTCAACTACTGCTACGAGTTAGCATTCTAACCGATCTCAAAGCAACAATTTATTCCTTGACTCATTAGAGAAGCAGTTTCGTGCAAACGGTAATCGGCTCTCTAAAAAACACAACTAAATCGACAAAAAGCTGAACGCCGACGTCGGCGCTGACTTAGCGATAGTTATAAATTCTAAGGTAAGTATACCTCTGCCGGTGACCGCGATAACTACGCTATTTGCTAAGTCGGAAGCATTCGGCAGCTCACTGCCAACAGCTTGCGAGACGATCTTGTTTTGCTGTCGGCATGTCCTTGTGACTTTCAAATAGAAAGATCTATACGATAAAAGTAGGCTGATTCACTATCCGTCACGTATTGTCTGCCTGTGACTCTGCATGCGCGAATGAACCCTGCAGATCTTAAAGACAACCTTTTCACAGACGATAGAGACTGGCGCTACACAACAACAAAGGACTTTAGCAAATAACAAAAACCAGATCACTTGAATATTTCTAACAGCAGCAGCAGCAACAACAACAACAACAACAACAACAATTTATCCAGGAGAGAAAATTCTATATGTTACACGAAGAAGTTGCGTTTGTCTCCGTTATACCTATGGGTTATTTAATGCCGAAACCTAAATATTTTGTACGCAATCTTTTTTTTTGGATATAATAATGATTTTAGTGATAAAAGTTTTACTAATTAACCCATCGCTGGGGGAAAAGTGTTGGATTCATACCTTTCCCAAGGGTATTTGCACGTAAGTGAATATAATGAACCCAGCTGGAATTTGAACTCGGCTCTCCGATTAACAATTCTGAGCCATTATCCATTACACCATTCACACATCCAAGTTTACAGCACCTGGTATTTTGAAGCGGTCACCCATCTAGGTACTAATCAGGTTCAACGTTGCTTAACTCTGATGAACGTACGGGAACCAGTGTTTCAACGCTATTTAGCTATAAGCCAGCTTTGCCCTGGGTAAAATAATAAAAAAACAAAAATAAAAGCTTCCAAATATAGGGATTTTCCAAGCGTAGCTCAGATGTGGCACAAGGCCGAAAGTATGGGGAAACCAGTGAGGATCGAACTCACTACTCAGTCGCAATTAGTTCTAGCGAGACAAGCTTGCTAACAATTACACCACATCCAGGTGCCCGGAGCTTCCAAATACATGTCAATATATGTCAACGCCAAAATAGAGTTATTAACATCAAAACTGCAGAAATGCAGCTCAAGTATGCACTGAAGACCTTCCTACGTCTACAGATGAAGAGAACAATGATAGCATCACATTTCATTCACTGCAACGATTATTTTCAATTAAAAGATAAATAGTGTAGAAAATAACATAAAAGATAGAAAACATCTGTCACCTTAAGAATAGATTAACATATCTGAGACAATCCAAAGAGTACATTTTAACGTGTCTTTTATATAAACTCCCTGGTATAATGATAAAAAAGTAATCATTCTACACAATTTATTTCTCAACACAATCCCCTCCCTTAATATAGTATAGATGGCCACTCGTAGTCGAGATACCGATCTACTAGGACGGCTAGTGGTTGACGCTGTTCAATCCCTATTGTATACGCTTGCTCAGGCGCATTTGTGTCCATTCAACACCCACAGAGCCCACCTGTGTTTTATATTGCAACTATGCTGAACAGAGCGTGTTATCTAGCGTGATCAACAATTTGAACGCTCAAGCCCTCGGCCACGATGACTTGTGACTTCGTGCTAGCGCAGCTATCGAGGGCACCCAAGGGTTCTGTCTACCCAATTTCACTCACAGGGTTTGGTGCTTTCCAAAGGTGCCGCACGCTGGGATCGACTACTCCAGTTCGATAACATCCTGACAAATCGACCATGGTGAGATTCGAACACGGGCCTCATGTGCAGAATACGAACGTTCTAACCACTCGGCCATCTCCCTTAATACTAACTTTTTAAAATCACATTGAACAATATAGTGAAAAATCAGCTGTCAGACTATAACGACACTTGTGTGTGAGTGATTGATTTGTTTTTTACGGCTTATCAACCCTTTGCAGATTATTTAAAGCCAGAAAATATTTTTACATTGTAAATTTTTTTTCGGGTTGTAATGATTTACTGATACAATTCAAACTAATTAACCCATAGCTGGTGGGAGAATGGGTGGATTCATAATTTTCCCAAGGGTATTAGCACATGAATAAATATAACGAACCGGACCGAAATTGGAAGCCAGCTTACCAATTTCCAATTCCGAGACATTTCCCATTACGCCATTCACATATTCAGTCTTACAGCACGTGGTATTCCCAAGCAGTCACCCATCTAGGTACTAAGCAGGATCAACGTTGCTTAACTTTGGGGATCGTACCTGATGTGGCTGCAAACCTGTCTATGTGATATATATGCGTATGTCTGTGTTGTGTGTGAGTGACTTACACGTGCTTATGCCATTTAATGAAGACACAACAACATGCAGAATAATGCACACACACAATTTCTTTGAGTTTCAAAAAAGACATTGAAGTAATATATTTCTGTCTCATTCTCTCTGGACAAATCCTACCCTGGGTTGTGCAATAAAATAATAATAGCTTTATGTCCATCAAATGCGTCTTTCCTTTCATATATATATATATATATATATATATATATATATATATATATATATATATATATATATATATATATGTATGAATCCATTGATAGATCTGTCCTAAGAAAGTTGGTTCACTGGATAGTGCTAGAAAGTTTTTCTTGTCAAAATCTACCTTACATATTTATAAGATTGCCATTAGTCCATGCGTAGAATCTTTCTGTCATATGGTCTTGTACTCCTGCTATATATATAAAGATTCTTGATAAAATCCAATGAAAAATCAGCAATATTATTAGTCCTGACCTGGCGTCTCGGCTTCAGTCACTTCACTACCGCCGTGAATGAAATGTGATGCTATTATTGTTCTCTTCATTTGTAGACGTAGGAAGGTCTTCAGTGCATACTTAAGCGGCATTTAAAAAAAGTTATGATGTTAATAACTCTATTTTGGCGTTGACATATGTTTGGAGTTAAATTTTTTGTTAAAAACAACAAAACTTTTTGTTTGGCAAAGATGCAAATGAATAGCATTTATATAAATGCATAAAGTCTGGTTGCTCATTTCCGTATATATTCACCTGCAACAAACACCCACACAGATACATTTGTGTTTCTTCAACGCCCACATAGCCAACCTGTAGTTTATGCTGCAACAATGCTGAACAGATTTTACTTACATTTTCTTAGAAAGATTGCATAAGCTGGTGTGATCACTAATTGAACAAGACCGATGTATGTGAACCCTCGGTCATGATGACTTGTGACTTTATGCTAGCATAGACATTGACGGCTTCCAAACAGTTTTGTCTACCCAATTTCACTCAAAGAGGAGGCATGGTGGTGTAATGGATAGCGGCTTGGATTGAGGAAGTGACTGAAGCTTCCCTGTACCTTTTTTCCATAAATACTTTAACTGTTCTGATGAACTTTCCGCTATGGTAGATAGACTTTATGAATTTAAGGGCAATTTTGTCAATCGACATCTGATGCCTTGATCTAATACCCCGTCCTACTCTTTAATTCTTTCCTCAATCACGTCTCTTTACTCCCACTCTCTGTAACCCCTTGCGTGCTAGTGGCACTCCCGCCTTGCTTGGGGTGAAATGCTTAAAAAAATTCTAGACTGGCAACAAGGTCTCATCAATTTATAGTTGTATTTGCTACATGCAACCGTAAGTTCTATGCTAACAATTTTTATTCTCGCACTTCTTGCTTGTGGAAATCTCTTCCTGCTTCATTCTTTCCAGCCAACTTTGATTTAAATTTAAATGTAATATCAATCGTAATATACTGTCTCCCTGATTACTCTTTTGTTATTGTTCTCGCCTTTTAAATGTTTCTTTTTTTTCTTATTATTCTTTCACACTCAGTAACCCCTTGTGTCTTAGTGGCTTTACTGCCTTGTCTGGGTTGATATGATTAACAAAATATCTGCTCTTACCTTCATCGTTAGCAACATTTTAAAGTTATTTCTAGGGCCACTTCTGTATTTAACCATAATATATTTTCTAATAAATGTAGTATTTTAAATGGACGAACAATTTAGATTTGAAATTTGATCATCTTGCCCTCAGCAAAGCAAGAGGTACCGAACTAGTATTAGATTAAAAGAGAAAATGAGTTTGTCTTCTGTATATTCTAATGTAGAAAATATGGAACTCGAACTAGAACTAGAACATAGCACGTGAAAACTAGAACAATTTACTCCGGTAGACGTAATAAAGTGTCCGGTTCGAAATTCTAATCACCTAAAGAAGGCCGGAGCGTACAACGTCCAAAATGTCGTGAATATGGCAACAAAGATGAGGACAACAATCCGAATAATGCAAATAGTGTACCTTGGGAAAGGTATAAATCGATGTCTTCTTCTTTTCGCTATGGGTTAAATAGCAGAACGGACAATCAGTATACCACAGAAAGAATCGGTAATATACTGTGAGAAAACCTTCTGCCTAGTCAGTTATAAATCGTAAGACTTTTATGACTGATCGCCCATGTATAACCTATGGTACTTAACTGACTGATTACGCAAAAAGATCATAAACTAGTTACTATCGCAACATGGAGTGGAGTCAAAGTTTCTGTTTTTGTTTATCAAATTTATTCTTAAAAAATAAAGTACAATTAGTTTTTTTTTAATCATTTTCCGCCAAGTAAGCCGATAAAGCCACTAAGACGCAAGTGGGGGGGTACTGGGAGTGCAAAGGAATAAGATTTTAGTAAGACATAAGGAGAAAAGAACAGAGTTCAGGAAGACAGAAGATGGCGATTGGCTTTGCATTTAAATTCTTGAAGATTGTAGTTGGCACGGTGGAGTAATGGATAGCGGCTGGGATTGAGGAAATCGAATTCCAGTCAAATCCATTACATTCACTTACGTGCTAATACCCTTGGGAAAGGTATGAATCCTCTTCTTCTCCCCCAGCTATGGGTAAATAGCAGGACAGACCAGGTTTTATAGCTTTGGATTGCAACTGGTCTACCGCAGAAAGAAATGACAACCTACTGCTGGAAAAAATCTGCCTCGTCAGTCATGTATCGAAAGATAAATGATCGCCTAAGCGTGTATCACTCATGGCACATAACTGACTGACTGGCGATGAAGGACAAACGAAAAGGAAGAACGATATTAACAGAAACGAAGAAGAAGAAGAAGAAGAAGAAGAAGATGATGATGATGATGATGAAGATACAGATGTAAACTATAACATTACTTCTCAAATTTGTAATATTCAAAATGGCAACCTACCGCGAGAAAAAATCTGCCACGTCAGTAATGTATCGAAAGATAAATGATCGCCTAAGCGTGTATCACGCATGTCACATAATTGACTGAATTTTCAGGGAAGCAAGAAATCTGAAGGGATTTCCACTGGCGAGAAAAGTAACTATTAGAATAGAACAGACATTTGCATCGAGATAATTCAACAGTAAAAAAGGTAAGAACTAGTTACCAATCTTGAAGCATGCTTAAATTCAGCATTTTTAAAGGAAAGCTCATCAGATGAATTGCTATGAAAATATTTTTTCTTATAATAAACTTTTTCTTTTTCTTTTATTCAATTATATGTAAAATTTCAAATAGAGTATATCTATAAAAAAAACAATATGAATAAAGACAAAATGAAAACTTATCTTAGCCTTGATAAAGTCTTTCAGATGACGAAACACGTCAGCTAAGGTAAATTTTCCTTTTGTCTTTATTCATTTAATTATATAGTTACTATTCATTTTATGTTTTTTTTAATAATTTTTTTACTATTCGTCTCATAATTTTATACCATTATGATTGTATTTAATTATACATTTTCCCTGCGTATGATGATAAACTACATCCGGCAGTAAGTTCTCTGATCGGGAGGTCTTTAACCACCACTTAAATGCTCTTGATCCCAAGTCTGCCTTGACCCACGGTGGAAGCACCTGTTAGCGTCCCAACTAGGGGCAAATAGTGAAACCCCAAACTGGAGTCAAAATATGAAAATATAAAAATAAATTAGAAAAAATTACCAGCAATAGATTTTCATAGTAAAAATAAAAAAATTACCAGCAATAGATTTTCATAGTAAAAATAAAAAAAATTACCAGCAATAGATTTTCATAGTAAAAATAAAAAAAATTACCAGCAATAGATTTTCATAGTAAAAAAAAAATTACCAGCAATAGATTTTTATCGTAAAAATAAAAAAAAATTACCAGCAATAGATTTTTATAGTAAAAATAAAAAAATTACCAGCAATAGATTTTCATAGTAAAAATAAAATTACCAGCAATAGATTTTTATAGTAAAAATAAAAAAATTACCAGCAATAGATTTTCATAGTAAAAATAAAAAATTACCAGCTACCCATGCTTAAAGAAATACAATAATATTACACACAAGTAGAGCCCACACCTTGCGAAGGGATTTATCTATGTAAAATATGTGCAATTTCTTTTCAAAACTGTTCAGTGGAAAACGTCATGATGCCATTTCTGACCTTAGGTTTCTGGTTGGGACCCGGAAAGAAAAGAAATATGCACCAGAAACCAAAGGAAATACAATAATAATAACAACAATAATAATAGTTGGCCACTCGTATTCAAGGATATCCGTTTACTAGGGCGGTTAACCAAGCCCTGCTACAGACGCGCGCTCAGGTGCATTTGTGTTTGTTCAACACGAGCAGAGCCCACCTATGGTTTATATTGCAACTATGTTGAGCATACCTTAGTTGCAGTACCTGGGAGAGAGCGTGTTATCTAGCCTGATCAACAATCTGAACAAGGCCAGTGCGCTTAAAACCTCAGTCACGATGACTTGTGACTTCGTGCTAGTAAAGCTATCGACGCCCCCACCCCTAAGTCTACCCACATTCACTCACAAGGTATGGTTTTCAGACACTTTCCAAAGGTGCCATACGCTCGGATCGCTCCCCCTTCCCGCCGACCGATAACATCAGGAAGTCTCTTTCCTGGCAAATCCACCATGGGGAGATTCGGGCCCTGGTCTCATGGTCAGAAAAACGAACATTCTATCCACTCCACACACACACACACACACACACATATACATACATATATATATATATATATATATATATATATATATATATATATATATATATATAGATAGATATAATACTTTAACAAATATTGGGGGCCTGTTCCTCACACCAAAACACGGACAAAAGTCTATATAATTATATAGGCCATCGATGCACCTCAATACAGTAAAATTTCAAATAGTATATATCTATCTATCTATCTATCTATCTATCTATCTATCTATCTATCAATCT